TGATTTGATAAAACTTAAAATGTTTAGACAAGTCTGTGGTTAAAAATATTGTGATAACAATGTGGGGTATGTTTAATGTGGCTTGACAGTAAATATTATATGAGACAAAATAACTAATTTAAATAAAAAAAAAGGGAAAGGAACTTTTGGGTTAGAAAGAAAAATTTTGTTTGTATATAATTAGATATAGGATTTAGGTTTTGTCTGTCAACTTGTGGACCAAACAAGACAAAATAAAAAAAAATATATAAGAACACGATCTAATACCAGTATGAATACTACGTCACAAATTTGTGATATTTTTTTACGCGAAATGAGTAATATTATGACTCACTGTAACTCGACATTCTAGATACACCATTATTTCAACAGACCGCCTGTTTTTTACTTGATTGATACGCTGTAACATTTTATAATTGCTTTGTTATTAATTTTTTGCTGTACGAGATTTTTTCCTAAAAATCTTTTTAACATAATTTTAACTTAACTATATTTACGTGACCATATAGCTGTGTCCTTTAGCGAGTAGTACACATTTAAAATGACTGTCTACTGTCAACCTACGATGAAATGTGTCGTCTGTTCATGAATATAATTCACGTTTTAAACCGTTAAAAGTTCTTCAATATTAATTGTCTGTTTTATGTTTTTCTTATTACTTGTTACAGTAAAGACGGTTCGGGTTTTGTTACAGTCAGTTCATAGACAAAGCTAAACAAAACCTACTTCTTTCCACTTGTAAGAGTTGAATTGTAACCGACATAAGCTCGTCAAACTAAATCTAGAAACTATCTAGATATTGTCATTAACTAGCACCATGAACTACTAATACGCTACTTGGAAATGGCTGCATAGGTAAGATTGGCAAGTGATAATTTTTTTCATAATAAAATCACACGACTTGCCTTATTCAACTTAACATTACAAGGAAAAGACAAGGAAATTGTTATCAATACCCATCATATGCAATTTAAGAAGATTACTCATCACAGTGAATTTTCCTTGTCACTTCTTTGACTAGTCACTAGTGTTTTCGATAATTTTACAAGAAAACATTTCTCGTAGAAGATAAATTGTGTTAGGAACTTGATGTTAATCTCTCTTTTGCGGGACAAGTAGACATACTTCTGTGTCTATTTCTTACTATTGAGTGTATTTACTGCGTTTCTAGGCTTTCTATTTAACCATTGAGCCACGGGAGCAATAAATAAGGTAATAAAAATGTAAGCCTAGGTTTTAGAAATGCAGTTAAGAAAAATATAGGTGTTTCTATCTCTTTCTAATCTGTATGTTTGTTCATACATCACTGAAGCTAATAAGCACTAATACAAAGAATTACCAGACATTCAACAAATAAGCAGTTAATATTGAAATTTTGTCTATGAAATATTAAACTCTTGTGTCACAAAATAATGTCTGTTCTTCATCTAATTAAAACTCAGCGCTGTTTAAGAGCGTCATATTACTTTATAAGACGTATTTGGTACAAAAATAGAAACCACACCACATGTTACGACATTTTCCCAAATAAAAGTATTTAAAAACCACACGGGAACTATTGAGTTTCATTCCGTCCTGATAGCTTAATTTCCTCATTAAATTTAAGCGAAAATAAACCGTAACACTATTGATCACAATTTAAAATCGTACGAACGACAGCAATGTTCGTTTATTTTATCTGTTACAAAGTTTTGTGTTAAAAAACTCCGTATGGGGTTACATTTGGGGTTGCGTTATCTTGAATGATGGGTTTAACGATATATTTTTTTTAAGTTTTACGTCATATAATGTTACAGGCGATTTAAAAAAGTATTGGTGTTCTTTAAATATTTTAGATGAATTTTTCAAGCTTCCCGGAATTGCGTATTGTCTGTAGACACGAGTGGTGTACAATACCTAAAATAACTTCCTAGCTGTATCAGCGACTTCGTCCGCAGAGAATAGTTATTTTGAGCATCCAAATTTGTCCAAAAGAGAAATCATTCTTTCATACAAATATTTTATGTATTTCGTACCGTGTTCGCAATGCATCGCACACCCACAAAGATGAACAATTTTTCCCACAGCGCGATGTTTTTATCCTATAGTCTTCCTCGATAAATGCGCTGATCAACACAAAATATTTTTTTAAATTCGGACCGTTCCTGAGATTAGCGCATTCAAACAAACAAACTCTTCAACTTTGTATATTAGTATAAATTAAACTTTTTAATTCGGCTTAAATCGATCGATGTGTACGTTGAAGTAAGTATTACAAAGTAAAAGAGTTAAAATGTAACTGAGAATTCGAGGAACGATGTTATCTAAGAGATACAGATACGAATTACATTGGCCTTGGCAACGGGACACATGCTTGGCTTAAAGACATCTCTCCACTGATAGCTATTAAAAATGTAAGGGAATGTTCCTTTAGGATAATGAATTCCTGTTGTTAATGTAACTTACATTATAAAGGAATTATTTGAAAAATGTATAATTTTCACATGTGGCACATGGCATTATATAATATAAGACACGGGCAGGATTTGAACCGGATTCCACTCTGTATTGGTGCTAACCAAGTGTTCACGTCCTGCTTCTGTCGAATTTTGTTCAATTTAAATCGATATTTAACTTAAAGGGTAAATTATATTGTAAAGTGAATAAAATCTACACAAAACTAGATTTGAATTCGCTAGAAATCGTTCTTAAAAGTAGTATAAATACTTTTTAAACAAGTGTAGTTTAAATATTTTAATAGTTCTCCATTAGCTCTGGCGTGAATCCTTTAATAGTTGGAAGATAATCGCCACCATATGCTACTGTATCGCATTCAAATGTTAGTTAAAGATACCTCAAATATTTAGTGGGTACCTATATAATATTTGAGAATTCTTTTTCAACGAAACCTAAGTTATCAGCTTCCTATACTATATGTTTTTTTTTAAATTTAGACTTAATGTTTCAATTTAAATTCTACCTAAACATATGAAAGATAGTGTTAACATATACAGATATCCAGGAACCAAGAATAGCTGTTTCTTCATTATACGAGTAAGTTTATTAGATTATAGTAATGACTTTTTATTCTTATCAATTGCCACAAGATCACCAAATTAGACCCTAAATATACTTGCTCTTAAAGTTATATTTTATTATAGAACAACCTGTATATGTATAATCAGGTAAAATAGAAGAACATATAAATCAGATAGGCAACGTGAGAATATTTAATACAGGTGCTTTTATCGAGGTCTCTGCATCACACTTCACTTAATTTTTGGTGTCTTATCTAGCTTTACATAAGAGCCATAGTGAATGTTTATCTAGCACGAAATTAACATACGTTAATAGTGAAGATAGAATTATTAACGTCGTTAATTATTGTATTTCTTTCCGTTCTCACGCTTCATTAGCAGGGCTTAGTGATTTATCTGGTAGTAATTCTTGTTAGACAAATGGACACTTCTCTTTTCGACCTACTAATAGGAATTTGAGTAAATTTCTTTGAAGCTTTTGATGTAGTTACACTGGTCTTACCAAACAGGTTAAATTATCATAAAGGACAGAATGTCGAAAATAACAAAACTTATACGTATATAAAACACTGTAACGGGTTTAAACGTGATATATATTATTTAAATTTATTTGGTTTTCATTTTAACTACGGCCCGACGTTTTGGATACTTTGCAGGGGCGTGGTCACGGAGACCTGTCATTCACATTTTTACGTAGTATTTTCTGTGTCCAAATAGATTACTGAAATTCCGAGCTTCAAAAAGTAATTCACCCCGTTAGATGTTAATAGCTTTTTAACCACACTATAAACATAATGTTGGTCTTTAAATTGTTGACAGTAAGAGTCTTAAGAGTCTTTTGAGACTTGGAATCTTACTTGCGGATTGATCCACAAGCTAAAAGTAGCCCAACGTGCCATGGAGAGAGCTATGTTAGGAATATCTCTTGCGGACAAAGTTCGAAACGAAGTCATCCGCCAAAGAACGAAAGTGACGGATATTGCTAGCAAAATAGGCAGGTTAAAATGGCAATGGGCTGGGCATGTCTGCAGAAGAGAAGATGGTCGCTGGAGCCGACATATACTGGATTGGAGACCACGATTAGGCAAACGCAGTGTAGGACGACCTACAGCACGGTGGACAGATGACCTGAAGAAAGTGGTCGGCAGCAAATGGATAAATAAAGCTCAAGAGAGGGCTGAGTGGCATGCTTTGGGAGAGGCCTTCGTCCAGAAGCGGATCCAAACGGGCTGATAATGATGAATGACGATGATTAAGAGTCTTAATATTTTTACCAAATTTAATCTAAATGATAGCTCTTTTGTCGTTATCAAAGACGCAAAATAATCTATGTTGCTATTTGTATATATCTCGGTCGGATTTTACGCAGATCTTATCATTTATATAAGACAATATCAACTTATTTATTTATATTTGATGATTATATAAAAGGAGTGGCATTTCTCAAGTTACATTACCTTCCTAGCTCTATTTAGAAAAAAGTTTTATCATTTGCTTTAAATTCAAAATACCCTTAACCAAATCACTATGAGTTTTATTTTTTTTGTTTGGAGTGTTACTTTCCTTATCATATTTCGTTACGAACAAAAGCTTTTTCAAATTAAACATTAGTTCGCGACAGCCCCCAGCTCAAACCAATCGTTTAAAAACTGCCTACAATTGCGCTCGTGAATAAATTGATGCAAATTAATAAAATACTGGACATATGACGTACAGTCGCGTTATCAAGTCTTGCAATTCGCCTTGCCAGTTGCTGCGCGCGCGTCTAATCGTACAAGCGTTTCTTAAACAAATTCCACTTCATTAGTTATATTAAACTTATCTTGTATAGTTATTATGGTGTCTGTAGAGTTTATATCTGCTATCAAATTGAGTGCATCGTTATGGTAATATGGTTTTGAGTACGCAGTGATTGTGCCTAAATAATTGTGACTAATGTAGACATGACGACGTTACAAAGTTTTGGACTTAATGATTGTACTGATGGGAAATTGTGAGTATTTATTCCACAATATAGAATATGGTTTAATATTTTTATGTTATTATTTCAAATTAGGCTTATAATCTATATTATTGCATTTTAAATCTCTCTGCAAATTGTTATTTTTCCTACGCTTAAATTTAGACATTAAATAAAATAGAAAGAAATACTTTATTAAAAACAACATAAATTACACATACATTCTAATATTACAAACATACTATAGAATTATAATGTTTATAAGTATGTATATAATGTTTTACGACAATGTATATTTAATTATATTAGTTTAAGTTATTTTAACTACAGCCCAACGATTTTCCCTTGATCAGGGCTACTGCAAAGCAACCGAAACCTAAGGTAAAATAAATTGCCAATCAGCTAACTAATACATTTCGCATTTTAAACTGTTAAATGTGTCTTATTTAAAAGCTGGTTTCACTCAATCGATTATTTAAAAAAACGATGATAAAAGTATGATTTCATATGTTAATGAAGCTAATCCATCGAGAATAACAATATTCCTATGCCAATTTCTGCCTCAGACATAAATGAGTCACCGATGTGTAACCTACTTAGAAATTGATGAATATTTATTATGCATCACGTACATATGTAATTCTATAATATATTATGTGTAGACGATAGTGGCATTGACTTACTTATCGATAACATTTGTCAAGTCTGATAAAAATATGTATTGGGATGAGGGATATACACCTATAAGGGATAATAATAAAAAAAAGTTAAATGCTTAAAAAATAATGAAACTGATTGAAATTTGCTTAAAACATCGATGAGGGTTATGGCATTTCAATTGATACTTTAGTCAAATCCAACATATAATTTAATAAAGAATTTCGGATTCGAACTCAGGACCTCTCGCAATGACTTTACTTATAGGGCCATGGAAGCGGTCTTATATAAACAAATATTTAAATTAAAACATTTGTGCATCAGGTATGCATAGTTGAAATTAACTTGTTTTGACAAAATACTTTCTGAGCTATTAAGATTATGTAAACTGTTATATCTATATTATATATTGTTTGTTTAAACATATATATCCACTAATCAATGGACAATTTGTAATTTTATTTATTTATAATTTTCGTAAAGTAAGAATCATTACGATTTTTGTACGTGCGTTTTTTGCGGTCACTATTGCCCGAAATCTATATAGGGCTGAAGAGTGTATATGTTTGAACGCGCTAATCTGATGAAGTACTGGATCGTATTGAATTTTTTTTGTGTTTGTTGGAGCATTCATAGAGGAAGCTTTAGGCTATAATTCAAAATGGCTGCGATGAAAATGAGCAAATTAACAATGAGAAATGTTGTAAAAATGGAGAAAACTATCCACATTTGTGGGATTCCGTCAAATGCGCTGCGAATACAGTTACAAATATCAAAAAAAAATGTATAAAATAATGATTCCCCTTTAAAGGATCTAAAAAAATCCTCGGCAGTATTTTTAAAGGTCTTAAGAGGCAGGCTTCACAACAACTAAAATTTTTCAAGTGAGAGTTTACAATAACAATGAATATTATACGTGAACAAAGTCGCGGCCACCGCCAGTTCTTACATATATAATATTTTTCATCATATCATTATTATAGTAAAAGGGTTGTGTAACGATGCTACCACAATGGATCATTGTTATCCATTGTTCGAAGTCACTGTCGCCACCTGTTATTTACATACGCATTGTCTGTTACCAGCCTTTCTTTTAAAACATCCTGTATATAGTACACGATAGATAGGGTTTCATCTACCGTATGCGATAGAATATATACAATTTAGTTCTAGAGCTATTGATTATAGGGATACCGATTCTTACTCTTACTAAGTCTTAATTTTACTCTGTTAGCTTTACAAAACAGTTTATAAAAATTGCTCGAGTAAGTACAAAACTAACAAATATCAAAAACTTTCGCATTTATATTTTGATTCAACAGTCCAGTGTTCAGCCTGAAAGTGGGTATTAAAAAATTTATATCGTTAACATTGGAAATGTCCTTGGTATAGCCGAAACAAACACGAGGTTACAATATTCCCCCCCGTAGGGCATGGGGCGAACACATTTCTGCGTCCGTTTCACTGACCGGTTCTTTTACAGGCAAGTTGATCAAACTTCTGTGCCCCGCCCAACCGAAACAATCAATTGTTTCCCCGAGATTCTAATCCAGGGCCATTTACGTTTAAACGTGTTGCCTCTCTAGGCAGTCATAAACAAGTCTAAGGTTTGATTCACAGCGCAAATATAGCGGTGTTCCAATATTTAACGGAAATAGAGATTAGTTTTTATATGTCTACGGCTACAAGAGACAGGGAGTGTACACTCAAATGATTAAGCTTGAATTGATTCAAATTGTATGAATATCCGGCTGCACGATGGACAAAGGAACTTGTTGATATCAACTGATGGCTGTGAGAATATCACACCTCTATACTAATAAGAGTAACCGCAGTTCTAAGACTCAAAAATGGTATGTACAAAGTAATAGGTCGACAGTTGAAGTTAACTTCATGCTTGAACAAACTTCAAACAACGAATAAGATGCACTGTCGACCTTTTAGGCTTTAGCTTAGGATATTAGAGAATCCACAGACTGAAATCTAAAATTGACGGCTTTCATCTGTGGACAGTGTTTCGTGATCCGGACAAAATTTCGATATTTCTAACATCCATTTAATATCCAGATTTGCAGAAAATATAAATCGACCCGTTGACTAGAAGCCAGACATTGCTATAATTTCACCAACGAGCCAAAATTTATTTTTAACAATTATTACACAAAAAATCGTATTTACATAATCTTGTATATCTCTTGTTATGATAAGTTTCGTTTTGCGTGTCTTTCTTTTATGAAAACTTTTTTGTAGGTAAAAAATAGGTAAAGGTTACTGCTAACCTATAATTTCTCAGTAATATTAAATCACTCGAGGCTAAGTGAAAATGCGCTAAACCACAAATCACAAAGGTCAATGACCTCTATAAAGATTTCTTACTTTTTATCTTATTGCCTTATAAGAACAACCTTGCGTACAGTAGCATTAATCTTTGAAAGATTTACCGTTATTATCTGTAACCTTCGCATTATTATGTAGTGAGGAGATAAGTGTGAACACATATTGCTTTATTTATGCTATGTGAATTCATTACTTATAAAAAAAACACACACACGTTTGTACAATCAAATTATAGTTTGTAATGTTGAAATCTTTTTATTTTAAGGCTTTTTTCAGTCACAATTGTATAGAATTCAGTTTCTTATTAGTATACAATGCCATTAACATATTTTCAAAATATTTTAATTATCAGAAATTATCTCTCTTGTATTTTTTATTTGGTTGCCAATAATATTTTTCACGTGCGCTTGCATAAATTAAAAATCGATTATAAATTGAAAAGAAAATAAGACACAGGCGGGACTTGAACCGGCATCGTCAGCGGTTCGTTCTGTGGCTATAACCAACTCGGTTACTGTTCATTTAAACGTAAAGATGTGAAGTAAACTATAATGACAGAACATAAATAATCTACTTAATACCTGTTTTTCTAGGGTTACAAAATCTGTTCAAATACACATAATTTAATGTTTTTCTAAATTAAAACATGTATATTAATTATTATTTTCTTTAAACTAAATAAATTTTAATTTAAATAATGCCATCATGAACACAACATGTGTACATATTGAGTTTTGCGACATCATATAATGACAAAATAATTTAGACTGTAAAGAACTCTACTCACTTTTTTGTTTTGTCTCCAGGCCTCTTCAAAGGCTCCACGACGACCCTCGACGGAATCGGCCTCCGACCTATGCCAGCGGAACGGCCGAAGACGCTAAGAAAGTTGAAGTCTGTGTACGACGCGTCACCCACAGAGCAAGTTAACGTCACCAGTAACAACAGCAGCAATGGACAGGTAACATATTTAGTCATGTCAGGTACTTTTTACTACAATAAGAATTGTCTATACTTTGAATACGCAATATTTTCACAAAATATCTCATAGATAATCTCTGACCAAAGATTAAATATTTATAATAACTTAACTGTTAGCTAAGACATTAGAAGATATTTCAGTGTCAGTCGGGCTGTAGTTAAAATAAATTTGTAATCAAGCTGTTATATTTTAATTGAAGCAAATTATTGTTTTGAAACTAGAATCATGTATTCTGTTAATGCAGGTGGATCGAGGGTTCAATGGAACAGAAGATGAAGTCAGACGGAGAAGCAACACGACCAGTTCCACACATAGTGGTGACAAGTCTCTGTCTATACTCAGCCCATTTGACGAGCAGGTAAGCAATCTTAGAATCACTCAGGGGGGATGGTCTGCTATCATCGAAAAGTCAATCCCTGATTGTAAACATTGATAACAATAAAGAATATAATATAAAACAATTGGATGAGTTGTTCATAATGAAGCATAGTGATTATTTACTTTGGAGTACATAAAATAAATGTATGTTATCAACTATTTACGGGGAGACTAAAATACGTCTTGACGTCAAAGTTAAAAACGCGATATGCATTTGTTGTCAAGCTGTTATTTGGGAAACTGACCGCTCCTTGCAGAATTTACTAACGGTGCCGACGTTTGCCGGTATGCTGTTTATTGGGATCCAGGGTTTTTCCCGGGGATATTAAAAACTGCTGACGATGGCTCTGCAAAGCATCCGAATACGTCGGCCGAATAAAAATCATTTTTAAATAAGTTTAACTAATATATCGCGTTTTAAACCGTTAAAGTGTTTTATTTAAATGTGTACTACTCGCGTCAACTATAGACAGTATTTAACTATTTATTTATAATATAAATGCATTGTATAATTTATTACTACATATGGTTTGAATATAGATGTTAGAAACATTGTTGCAGAATCCCATTATAAACGTTAATTTTTAAAATTGTTCTAGCTATCGAAAATATAGGTATATATATTTAGACGGTCTCGTTGGTCTAATGGTAGCGACTTTTGATTGATAATCAATGGGTCGTGGGTTCGATTCTCATCGGATTCAACAGTGTTTCTCATCCCTTTAAAATTTTGTTGAAACATATATTTTGTCTCTCTCCTCTATCATAAAAACAAAAGAAATGTGACAGACTTAAAATACAACGTTTCTAATAATAATTTTGAGGTATACACCTCATAAAAACCTAAATTAAAGGAATTCTTGCGCAGTTTAGGGACTTGAGTAATTTCGCGAAACCTTGAAACTCCAGAAGTATTAGCTGAATACTGATGTAATTTATGTTCAAGTGTCCATGAAGTTTGACAAAGGCAGGAAGTGGTAAAATTAGTGCTTAACGGTCTGAGCACCTGTGGTTTCTTTAAGGTAGCAAATGCTACATCAATTCTTTTGTGATGCCATAGTTTAATATGCACTTCTTACTAAACCCCTCGCACACAATGCCCGATATAAAAAAAAATACCACGGATTAATCTTGTAAATTATTTTTTACCAGTATTGTCATGAACCAAAAACAATAAAGTAACATTGCTTTTATTAACACAATTTTAAAACAATACATAAATAACAATATACATAAACAATACACATGTTAATATCTACAGGTTTGATTTGAAAGCTGGAATAGTAAATGTTTTTTTAAGTGTACAGACGTTTGTGTGTACATACTTGAATTGATGGTTGTCTTCTTTGACGAAAATAATAGATCTTGTTAGTTAAACACATGATTTTAAACCTACCGTTATCATTAAAACAATATAAAGAACAAAATACCGCCGAACATCCGTCATAACTAAATCAAGCATAAAATAAATTTACAGACTAACGTCAAACAGCAATTTTGGTACCCAGCTCTAGTATTAATAGTGTTAATTTCAATTTATCGACATTGACGTAAGCTGACACCATCAGTCCCTCATTTCAATGCAATCTCTCGACATAATTTAGCCATAGTCTCCATATCCAAGGATACTACGCAGATAACACCACCCTGACACGAATGTTCGTTCAACACGTAACAAAAAATTCGTCAGTTTATTTTAAACGGTGTCCTGTGTTGAAATTGTTTTTGTTCACGTTAGTATTTTTTGCGCTTTATAATTGTTAACACGTTCCGCCATGGGTATGCTACCGAAGCGAAATTTCCGTTTAGCCGAGTAAAAATTTAAACAAATTTTTTAATTTTATCCAATTGAAATCAATTTGTTTATTTATTGAAAAATAATTCGAACAGATTGATCGCCGCGGCCCATAGAGCGAAAAAACCTATCCTTAATGGCCCCCGTCGTGGTTGGGTCAGGTCGCCTTTTTCCAAAAATTCTGAATATTGAATTCCTATAAATCTTTTAATATTTAAAACGTCAAAATAAATCCATATATTGTAGACTTTAGAAAAGAAATACTAAAAATTTTTGGCAAAGCCTGCATTAGCCAGAGTGCTAGAGGACAGACGACATGAAGAAAGCACGTAGTCAGAAAGATACCTTCGGTGAAAGTCCTGTGTAGAATGTTACTAGAAAAATTTCCATATTTTGACTTCAATTCAAGGAAACAAGACTAAAAAATGGATCAGTCAATCAATCAGTACTTCTTTAACACTTCATAAAACTTTTTTATTGTTGATTATTTGCCTATTTTCATACATAATTATTGATGTTCATACAAATTAATATATATTTTTTTTTATTTCTACCTGCTAAAATGTTATATTTAGTTTAAGTAAACATTTTTTTAATAAAAATTATTTTTGTATATGAAAGTTTAATTTTGCAAAAACCAACTTCATATAGATAACTAAGGCCACGCGGGTCAATGAATATAGATTTATTTGATAAATTTACCAACGTCTGTAAGAACGAAACGAAAATCCTTGTTAAACGCGGTCATCATGACCACCGCTCAATGAAATTTTATTCAACCATCACTGACCGACACGCCTGAACGGGAAAGTTCATTTTTTCTCTGAAAAGTTTAATATTGAGACTGTCCATTTATTACACAATATTAGGTGTAAGAAATTTTTTTATATGACTAATGTGTGTCTATAGTTTACGCGAGTAGTAGGTATTTGAATAATACACTTTTATCATCCCTTCGTGACCACGGTTACTGCAAAGCATCCAAAATGTCGGGCAGTTTAAATAAATTGTAAATAAGTTACAATTTATATTAATTTTATTTTATCTTTAACAGTTTTTTTTGCATGTATACGTTTCATTTTTAATAACGTATTAAAATGTAATGAGTAAAATAAACAGCTGGTTTACAATAATATTAAATACTAAAGTGAAAGTTCTTGAAATCAGTAAAAGGCTGAATCGATAGTAAACGAAACTCCGTTTCCCGCTGTCAGGTTTCAGTCAAATCCGAATATCCAAAGCCAAAATATGTCGGTATATCTAATTTAGATGTAATATGGCATATGGCTGGAGTTTTCACTGTCCATCTCTATCACAAAAAGAAGAATATATGTATGTGTCTGTTCTACAGATCGATTTTATATACTGGTAGGCTCTGAAATATTTTTTTTCCCAAGAATCGAAGTTAAGCGCTTAACGCAATGCTGGGAAACACATTTCATTATTGAACTACCCTACATATCATTTTTATTTGGATTTTATTTCTTGTACTTGTTGATAAGCGTCGGAACATAACCGTCATGGTAGCACTGCTCGAATCCTGTACATGTTTTTTATTAATCGTAACCATATCTTGTATAAAAGAAATGTCACCTATTATGCAGGTAGGCAGGTGTTTATAACCTTTGCACCTGCGCGCTCTTTATCCCTTTTCAGATTTTTGCACACGCAAACACAATTCATATTAAATACTGTCTGTAGTTTACGCGAGTAGTACACATTTAAATAAAACACTTTAACGGTTTAAAACGCGTTTTCGATGCTTTGCAGCAGCCGTGGTCGAAACTCGTCGTTGTCGTAACGTCGGGCCGTAGTTAAAAATAATTCGCAAAAAAAAATAACTAAAATATCTCGTGTTTTAAACCGTTAAATTGCTTTATTAAAACTAGTCACATTGATTTACACCAAAATTGTAAATTTCCATTCGACTTTTGACAAGTGAAAATCAACGATGAAATTTGCAATAATTATCGTAAATTGAATGGAAAATTAATCAATAATGGATGTTTGAAACATCCATTCAATTGGTTTTGGTGAATAATTGGTTTGTTATGATTTTGGAAAATGTGAAACGTTGAATTTAATGTACACACGAGTAATCAAACTTTGTAAGTCCAATATATGAGCTTGATGCATTTTATTATATCTTTTGCACAGACAACCTCTATAGCCATATGTGGATATATGTAACTTAATAAGTAATGGAATTTTATTAAAACTATATTAAAAATCAATAAACCTTATTATTTCATAACTCAAGCTTTTTTCAAGTAAATCCGTAATATAGAATAGAATAGAGTGGATACCGCCTACCGTCCTTAGGTCATAATCTTTATATATTTTTTTAAATTCAAAGAGTAATACTTAAGTCAGATCTTATGACTATTAAGATTCCATACTAAGTTTATTTTTCTGTTCTCTTCACCAGGAGGAATGGGCGAAGATCTCCGAAATTATGGCGTCCTTCGGCAGCAAGTTAGTACGTGAGTCGGTCTTCGTATCGGAGTTGGAGCAGGAATTCACAAATCGACTTGGCCTAAGCTGTTCGGAGTCCAGTCTGAGTCCCTCAGTGGCGTCCACCCTTGGACTCTGGCTGTCTGGATTGGGACTGCACGATTATGAACCATTGTTTATTGACAGTGGTTATGATGATATCGAGTTTATTGTAAGTATCTTATTTACTCTAGTACATATAGCAAAATACTATCTCTTATCTTTGCAACAGATAATATTTATACAAAAATAGCTACAAATCTTAAAGTATTAGACAAACAAAAAATTTCTTAACATTTAAATAATTAAGTGTTTATTAAAAAAATAACATATATATCACACTTGTTCTACTTAAATTACTATTGCATATATCTAGTAATGAAAGCCTTACAATAAGTTTTCCTAATCCAGACAACATATGCTCTGCTAAACGAACTATCAATAAAAGAAAGTATTTTGTAAATGTAACTTATCCATATATATACTATACTTCTATTTGATGTTATGACGTAAAATGCCAAGAGGTGAATTTACATTTTTAAACTATTCAGTCGTCGTAGAACTAATTATGCAACTTTTTAAAACCTTACATCTCCACAGAACGGTATCCTCGACGAAAACGACCTGCGAGAAATGGGCATAGAAGAGAACGACAGACAGAAAATTCTAGAATCATCCAAACAGTTACCTCTTAAGATTACAGAAATAAGCAATAACCATAACAATAATGTAATTAAGAACCAATACGGTTCTGTCGATGAATGGCTGCGAAATATTAACTTGGAGCAATATAGTGAAACGTTTAGGAAGCATTTGTACGTAGACATGGATAGAGTTAGGAGGATATGGGAGGTGGAATTAACGGCTGTCCTGGAGATTAATAAGCCGGGGCACAGAAAGAGGATCCTGTGTTCTGTATCCGGGGAACACAACGGCCCTGCTAATAACATCGAAGATATTAACGCTGATCTCAATAATTTGGTAAGTGATAACTTTACATTTTTACAACTAGCCGTGTTAGCGCCTTCGTCCGCGAAGAATAATTATTTTGGGCATCTAAATTGATTTTTGCAAATATCCTCTTCGTCTTTATTAACTTACCCACGACGTCGGCCACGTTCTTGCAAGTTGATTTTCAAAGAAAGATAAATTTTCCAAAATTTCATTTTTCTTACTGTTTCTTCACCCCTATTAGTCACAGCGTGATGCTTTAAATATATATACCTATAGTCTTCCTCAATAAATGCTGGTCTTATATGAATGATTTTAATATTGAATCTAATAACTGTTTAAAAAATTTCATGACTCCCAGTTATTTACAGTACAGTAGCGTCAAGAAATCTTGTAATCTTTAGTCTTGAAATTTATAGAATTTCTAGGTCACAACAACTTAATTTTCCTCAAATAACTGACGTACGCTAGTCCGAAACTGTGTCTAATGTTGCTAATTATATATTCCATTCACGATGCAATGGTTACAGACAATATGTGCCTACGTCACTTGCATGAAAAGTTTACCATAGACTATGCCAACGAAAGGGAAACTGTTTTGATATATGTACTTTGGGTAGAATGAAAAAAAATTATACCCATTATTATATATATTAAATACGATTTGTTGCGCAAGTATTTGTTGTAAAATAAAATCTCGTTTCTCATATTCTTACGCCCGTTTCACTGATCGATTTACAGGCAAATTGTTGTTCAGTCTTTTATGCCCTGCCAGACCGTAACAATTTATATTTTCCCCAAGATTCGAACCTACAGCGCTTAACAAATTTAACCTGAAATTTAAAAAGGGGGGGTTAAGTATAGCATGCTCGTAATTAAACTGCTAAGTATCCTAAAAAATCGTCTTACGTAATATAAAAGAAAAACTAAAATCTGTGAAGTTTTAAATGGATTGTACTATGACATTAGTTATTGTAGATAACTTATATAAGAAAACTTATAAAAGAAAAATTTGCGAGTGTATGAGTGTGTAATCATACACTTACAAATTTTTCTTTTATAACTTTTATGAATTAACAATTAAATAAAACACTGTTTAAACGGTTTGAAACGCAGTTTATATATTAGATAACTTATCCTACGTTTTAGACAACTGAGAATTACTATTTAGGAGTCGATATAAATGTACAAATTTAGCTTCGATTGCAAACGATTCGGCGGGTAAAGCCAAGGAAAACTATAGTTAGTTTTCTTTAATCAATCATTTTGTGCGTCAAGAATAGAATATTTTAATGCACAATACGAGGACATCCTTCCAGACAGGAATTCAATTGAATTTTATTGATTTGATTGATATTCATTGTTATAATATTGCATATAAATGAAGTTACTAGTTGCATTAATAATGTATATTGGTTAAAGTCTATTAAAATGCTCATCTATTACATGTTTAGTAATGTAAAAAGCACAGAAAATTTTCTTTTATATGCCCCGGGTACAAGAATTTTCTAAACACTACCTATGCCCGTGGCATTGTCCTCGTGGTATAGTTATTTTGGCCTTTCTATTAAAGACTATCTATAGTTTACGCGAGTAGTACACATTTAAACTTTCTATTATTTATTTCTACAGCTTTATATATTATAACTGTTACCCACGTCGTCATCCGTCAGGTCGCTCTTTGCGAGTTAATAATAAAATATAGACATGATCTAAAAGTCTATCTTTTATGAACTTAAATAAGAATTTTGAATACATATTTTTTGGTTTCTTGGACCGTTTTCGCATCGCACGCAACGGAATCCCTCAACGATTAATAGTTTTTCCCGTTTCCACATTTTCCTCTGTTTCTTCGCTCTTAATGTCGCAAAGTAATCAATGAAGCTTTCCTCATAAACACTCTAAGCCCAACAAAAAAAATTCAATTCGAACCAGTAGTTTCTGAGCAAAAGCGCGTTCAAACATACAAACTCCCAAACTCCTCAGCTTTATAACATCATATATATTATATATTAAATACTGTCTATAGTTTACGCGCGTAGTCCACATTTAAATAAAACATTTTAACGGTTTAAATCGCGTTTTAAACCGTAAAAGTGTTTTATTTAAATTAGTATAGATTGCAAGTATGCCCTAGCAACCCCCACACACTTTAAAGTATATTAAAAGCCAATCACCGCAAAACGTCGCAGATTAAAAGGGCTAATCCCCAGGAAATTGCTCATCTTGCTGATAATTACACACGTGGGGGTGTATCTTAGCAACACCCCCTCAGGTGCGATAATAGCGTCTTAAGTGACGCGAAAGTTAATAAAATTGACAGCCATGAAGGGTTCAGATGTGATTATTTTTAACGACTTCAAAAGAGTGGCAACTTTAAGTGGTGAAATCTAAAGTTCCCCGTACGGGGCACACGCGTTTCTATGACTCATCAATTTTATTGTATTTGCAACTAGTTCTTTTTATAGAGGACGACAAATAAACATGCCTATCACATGATATATAAAATCACTAAGACATATAACATCTAACACGATGCCCTGTCGACCTATATTGGCTTTGAATACCTATATTGGATATTCGGAAATCCACCGTCTAAAACCGAGAACGAGATTCAATTTTACGGCTTTATCATCCAAGGACGTTGATTTGGCACCCGGAAGAAATTTCTAATGTTACGGAAAATTATAAATTGACCAGCTGTGTCAGCGACTTCGGTCGCGTAGAGTATTTATTATTGGGCATCATCATTTGTGTTTGCAAGCCTCTTCCCCATCTTTATAAATTATAGCTACCCACGATGTCGTCCCGTCCCGTCGTTCTTGCAAGTTAATCTTAAAAGATAGACATATACCTACTGTCACAAATTTTAGACGAATCGAAGAGAAATCCTTCTTTCATACATATTGTTTGGCTATCTTGCACCGTTTAGCAGCGTACGCAATGAAAACCAAAAGGAATTAATATTTTTGGCTGTTTTCTTCACATTTCCCACCGTTTAGCCTTCCTCAATAAATACTCTAAACAACACAAAAAAGAGTTTTTCAATTCCCACCAGTGGGAAAAGATTTGAAGCATGTATGAAAAGGTTATTGGTGCCATTAGACCAACGATTCCTTACGTAATAATATAAATTTACACTGAAACGCCACGCCAATACAGTCTATACGTGCAGATCTTTTTTTTAATTTCACACATCAGCGACTCAGTATGGTTAATTAGTGCTCAATTCGCGGTCTATTCAGCTGGCCTATTCATGAGTTCACTCTCCGAGCCTTGATATAAGAGAAAATGCCCTAACTATCGGATGTGGTTTCCGTCTAAATTAATAGCTAGAATTTTAATTTTACATTCGAGTACACGTTTGAACGAGAAAGGTTTATACTATTTATAATTAATATTTTGAGCTCGTTGGTGTAATGGTAACAATGTAATAATCAACGGGACGTGGGTTCGATTTCTACCGGGTCCAACATTTTTCCGTCCGGATCCACCGTTCACAGATGAAAAAGCCGTGAAGTTTAATCGCGTTTCGGTTTCAGTCTGTTGTTTTCTGAAATGCCAAAGTAGGTCGACAACACATCTTGTTTAGATGCTATAGGCTGGGGTATTTTACCCACCATCAAGCTTCTCTGTCCTTTTCTTCGAAAATCGAACTTAAGTATAGATATTTAAAATCTAAGTGTTGATTTTTTTTAATGTTGAAAATATTTGTTATAATTTTGGAATAAGTCTTTAATTGTATTGTATGTGTTTTGGCTTATAGTACCCTAAAGTAGTTTAAAGATTGCGTTATAAATCCAACCTCATAAAATTTGATATGCGTATAACTTAATTTTTTTTTATAAATACAAAATTTATTAATACAAAAAAAAAATACTTTTCATCGTGTTTTAATTCGATTCGATAAAATCTATTTCTTATAAAATCTCATGGCAAATATTTATCAGTGTCTGTGCCTTACCTGACCGAAAATATGTATTATGATTCTGCAAGATCTTAACGATATCGTAGCTTAAAAATCGATTATAAATCGTACGATTCGTTTGAATTGAATTATAAATAAAAAATATATATTATCGATGTTTAACAAGCCAAAAATATTGAAGTTTTTAATCATATCGTAGGTATTTAACTATCATGCTTTCAAGGCGTTTATTTGAGAAAACGAAATTACGTAACGCGTTACTGGATCGTAGAAGAACTCGCTTCGAAAACCGATAGTTGTGCCTCCATCATCACGGCACTATTCAGCGGGTCTTAATGCACTTACCCCAGCATTTTTATTGCCTACAAATGACACTCGTCAAATTAGATGGCTCACATCGAGGCTCGTTGTACGCCTTAGAGGCTTAATTAAATTTTCACGCTCATCAAATCCGTGTACATTCCCATTTTTGCGTTGCATCATTACTTTTGTTTTACACCTCTGAAGTGTGAACTGTTTCGAGTGACATTTTTCTATTTGTTCCCTTACCTTTGTTGGCGCCTTTTCGATTTAATTAGCGTGTGTTTTTTTATGTATTCATAATTGTCATGGTGGATGGTTATTTATTGTTTTCGTTATTGTATTTTGCGTTGTTTGTTTGGGATCAGTGTGCGTATTTAATTCGACATTTATTATAGATGTACGTTAATAGTCAGGGTCTATTCTATTCAATAATCTATCTATCTATTCAATAAAATGAAACTCATATTTTTTATAAGGGCCTATTTACAAGGTTCATGAAAGTTTTAAAAGAGTGAACTTATATTATACATATATGGCATAAACGTTTGGCGTCTTTGTAATGTATTATTACAGACAGATATTTCATACACAAATATATAACTTTATTAAAACATTTTTTTAATGTATATATTATTTTATTCCAAATTATTATATACTATAAACCATTTAATAGACATATTTAACAATGCTATATAGCTTAGGCGGTATATCGCTAAACGAACGCGAGGACCTGGGTTTGAGTCTTGTGGAAATAATCGATTTTATCTGTCGGGAAATAAACAGAAGACAGATCAACTACTTGCTGTAATTGATACCGATCAGGAAAACGAACACAGAAATGTGTTCGCCCCATGCACCACGGGGAAAAACGGGATTACACTTTTAATATATAGCTTTGCTTTGAAAAACCAAACAATTTTGTTTTAGAAAAATAATATTCAACAGCTTAAAGAGGAAATCAAAGAAAAGTTGCCGCCTTCGGAGAACTTGAAGCCCGTGCCGCCCCCCGTAGTACCAAGCCTTGCGCCACCTGGTGGTGAAACGTTGAAACGTAGTAAAAAGAACAGGCCCGCTCCTCAGCCTCCCAGGCCTTCGGATCTGGAGATCAGGGCGCCTTCAGAGCTGCTAGTAGGGGTACCGGGAGCTCTGAAAACACAGTGGAAGCATCAGCCATTTGTGTTGGTAACTGGTGCAGTTACTTATGTAGCTAATGTAAGTATTATAACCGACTTAAAAAGTATTGTATTCTTGCAATTAAGTAATTGAAAAGTCAGACAAAAGACGATACATTTCTTTTAATAACTATTAAACGAAGCTGAAATATTTCGAAGATAAATTCTTACGTATAGTTCCATTTACTATGTACTATGTAACCATATATGCATATTTTTAAATGTTTTATCATTTTATATTTTATTACTAATTATATCCAATAACTTCTAGCATCGATGTTTTATACTTTATAAAATTGGTAAACCTTGGTATTTACGGTTATTAATAATCATGCAAACTGCTATTTGTAAAAAATATGTTTCTCATTAGTACTTAGGATCTACAGTTGTAAAGGAACTGCGCGGGACCGAGTCCACAAAGAAATCAATACAAAAGCTTAAGAAAACTACCAAAGAACCCAGAGATTCGCCAGACATCATCTTGTCGATTAGCTATCGTGGTGTCAAGTTCCTAAATACTATTACACGGGTAAGTCATGTATGAGTTTAAGCCTTGAATCTGAAGCTTACAAAATATATGTTTTAAAAATAAATAATTTAGAAATAATGTTCTTAACAAATGACACAAAATAGCATTCTCACGATCATGTTAGATACACGAAGTGCTAGGCTTGTTAAATGTTTTAGATTAAGCTTTTTTTTAATGATAGAGGTGGGCAGACTTGCTTGGTGAAATACCCTTATAACATCTAAACAAGATGCACTGTCAGCCTATTTATGGCTTTGTATATTATTTTAACATTAACAATTTGGTATTGTCTGAAAGTTATGCTTTATATTGTGTAGTTTAAACATAATAGAACTGTTTAAAATATAAATTCAAATAAGTTAACTGATACGCGGTTACCTTTAAAATGGTTTTATTTTAATATTTTTTTAACATCTCGATATGTTGGTAATAAAAGTGAAAAAGCATTTCGTCAGTTTGAGTGGGACAAACTGACAACTCAGGGGTCATCCCTTCAACTTGATTATTATTTACATGAAAAATTTCTTGTAAAAAATCTTTGTAAGCCAGCGGAGCGTGCCAGGGGTAAACTTCCCTATACTTACAACGAAGGGTCAACTAAACAAAGGCCCTGACTTTGCCCGCTTGATTTTTAATTATGGATAACTTTTCACTTCATCGAATCTCTAATCTTGCCTTTGTTTCTGAGAAAGAATTGTTTTTTGTTGTTTTTTGGACGTTAGAACTCTTCACGCTTAGTTAGTTGGGTTAATTAATGAATTTTTATATTCACTTTTATTTTTGAATAATATTACAGGAAGTATCTGATATTTTTTCCGTGTTTCTTCTTTATTCTTTTGTATGTAAAAGATATACTATCGTGATAGTGTTTATCCTATTTGATAAATCCTAGGGAAGTTATGTCAAATAAATTTTACGTAATATATCTATAACAACTTAAACTCAAAAGGCAACTTGAAACGTTGCACTCTTTTCTTGTTCATTAACTACGTCTTTTAAAAGTCTTCGTTTAACCAATGTTTCCATTGCGCAGGAGTTGGTCTGCGAACACGAAATACGCAATATCCACTGCGCCTGTCAGGACGCGGATGATCTGACGCATTTCGCGTACATCACCAAGGACCACACAACCAAGAGTCACTACTGTCATGTCTTCAGAGTTGCTACCATGGTAAGTAGAACACACACATGGTAATATACACGAAAAAAGATACAGCAAACTATAGTGTTAAAATTATTGTAATTTGCACTTTGTTGAGAGTTGTCATTCACAATATTTTCAAATTCCAGGATCAAGCGACTGAGGTGATCCTAACTCTCGGTGAAGCATTCGAAGTGGCTTATCAGATGGCGCTGAGGGAACAGGCGAATAAAAGCAAAGTGACCCAATCCGTATCGAAGACGCCGACCCACGACGCCAAAGAAAAACTCAACCACGGCAGATCACATTCCATAACCGAGATCAAGCTAAACGGGCATCAGCTCAAAGTAGCACCCATCCCCGTCTCTCTATCCAACGAAGACTTTCAAAAAGAAGGCTCTAGAAGTCCAAGAACTCCGCTGCTAAAAGCGCCGATAGCATCTACCGAAGAATTGTGAAAAAAGTGAGCTTAGTACTAATTTCGATAGACGTAAGTTCATAAAGTGTTGTGTGGGATCTTAGCTTAGAACCCTTTCTCAGTTACTATTGTGAATTAGTTTCTTGTTATTTATTTAAATAAATTAGTTTTATCGTTATCTGGGGCCTAATTTGTCTTCAATCGGATTCAGTCTTCCGAAAATGGCCGAAATGGTATTTGTACCAAGTTTGAATACAAGCAACGTTCACTCGTAACATTAAAATAAATTTAGCTCTAAATTAGCTTATATTACTCGAATAATGATATTACTTTGTAACGAGTTTAATCGGTGTCGTAGTATATTCCATAAGCTTTCGGCTGTACGAGATTTTAAAAAACACTTCGTTTAATTTTCTCGAAAGAACTTTGCACTTACGTTTTAATTAATATGTACCCACCTTTCAACAGGCTTAGTTAAAATTACGTTTACTATGGAATAGTAAAGATAGGCTGTTATATTTATAATACCTTTAATTGTATATTTTTGTTTTTAGTCTAAAATTCGAACAATGCAGCTATAGTCATATTTTTACGTAAAATTGTTAGATGTAATGCGGGCTTTATAATCGATATAGGCCTAATATAATCTCAAATGATATTGAATTGTTACCAATTTTCAGTGTCGTATTCTAAGCATAGATATGGGTTGTTAATACATCTTATGACGAAATATGTTAAACGTATAGTACATGAAACATATCAATGTTATTTTCGACAGCGGTGCCAACTCTATTGCCCAACTAAGCTACGTTTTAGTTAACTAAGCGCGCTAGTTTAGTCAAATTTTAGTAGTAGGTTTGCCACCACTGTTGTTCATATTAAAGAAATCAGTATGCTGTTGCAAATTATATAATCATGTAGCAATTATCAAATTAGGTTGCTAAGGTACAATAATGTCTTAAAATGACAAAAAAAGTTGTTTCGGCTTTCAATAATTAGAATTTGCTCAATCAAATTGTCGTTTTACCGTTCTGTTGTTCACTTGTGTTGTTTTACAGTACCATCACGTGATGTTTGATAAAATATAGTTGAATTATAAGGTCTTGTACATCTGTTCCCTACTAAAACGTTTGAATGTAATGATTGATTGAATTAAAATTTTGAAGGTGCCATCATTATTATAAATTCATATTGACGCACATTTTTCAAACTTGAGATGTATTCATCGTTAATGAAGTCTGATTTAGTTCGAGATTCGTGTAATGTGATATAAAAGTAAAAAAAATATTAAAAACATTTCGTTTTTCATTGTTGTTTAGCCTGCTTTATGCTTAAACTATATTTAGCACAGCTTATAATAACGTTGTCACTATGATATTATAAAATTTATGAAATGTATTATTGATGTTAAACTTTAGAACATAGACATTTTAAATTAGTGTACTAGATTAATGGTGTGTGCCAAATCGCGATACAGGTTCTATTCTGGACCCCGAATGAAATTTAGGAAATATGCTCACAGAAACACCAATTTCGCCCGTCATGCTCATTTTTAAGGAAATTTTTAAACTTTTTTTTAGAGATTAAAATATACAAACAAAAGATCGATAGAGGTTAATTTGTTGAGGTAGCACAATAACGCATAAATACTTATGATTGTAATAGATCAAAACGTAGCGATACAATTAATTAAGTATATTTTTAAATCTGACGTATACCAAAGATAATATATACTGTATATTGTGAGTAGATTCGGGTTTACGTAATTTTCTTTATAAGAAATGTCACTGCCGACAAAACGAAGTTATATTAAGCTACTTTTATATGTTTATAATATCTATATCATTTATATTTAATTATATTGTATTCAGTATCTGTTTGTATTTCTCGCTTTATACATTGCTTTAATTCTTCGAAAACTCGCTTTCAAGTACCTAAATAAAGCTATTTATGAAATATAGTATAATTATGCAGTTTCCTATCTTTTATTTATAGAGTTCAATATTCTATATAAACGTAGAGATCAAATTACCGATGTACATACATAATAATCGTGAATTTAAATTCAATAAAATATAAAAAGTATTCATGGCCTGTATTTTATTGCTCATTGCTTCCTTTGTTACATGCGAAGTGCGTATATATTTATTAATATACACTATACAACAACTACAAGTTTTTCTCAAAATACTACCTGTTACTATTGGTAAATATTAAATGGCAAATCGTTATTATCTGCACGAATTAACCTTACATTGTAGAAGGTGAAGAACCCCATTTAAATTCAATCTGTGGACATGTCCCGGACGGATTTTAGATATGTTTACGACCCAAGTCATATCTAGATTATTCCAAGTCAAACTTGTTTCAAAAAATGTATAGAATTATTTCTAGAAACACGTTGTGAGGGTAGGAACCGACCCTAGGACCTGTTGACATTGCTATCATTTAACCAACGTTAATTAGATTAGTGTGGCCTTAGTCTAAACACAATATAGGTACCTATAATCGCAAAACAAAATAAACATTACATTTTTAGGCTTCTTAGAATTGTTTGTGCGATGACATCCAGAAAACAATATGAGCAAACATTTCAAGACGCAAGGTATTTCCATAGTAATTCCTACTTATAAAAGATTGCCGAACATAGAATAACCTCTCTATATATAAATTATTAAAACGCCGCTCGTTGTTCCCTTTAACGAAAAATATTCAAAAGCGACCAACAAATTTATTCACTAATAAATCCCGAACAGAGTTCGGCCATAAAAACGGCTCCTTTCGGACTCTTGCGCCATTCCTAGCTTAGCCGAAACAAAGGTTGAATTTTAAGACGTCATTTATTAATCTCGCACCGCATCACGGGCGATTGAAGTTGTGGCCTCCTAAAATTAAGGTGTTCGGCCTAAACCTCGTAAAGACGGTGTCTTGCTGGACATGTTAATCTATTGATCACGGGTTAGTTAAAATGTCCAACTTAATTAGCTTACTCTATTGTAAACGTTGGTGTCAAATTATGTAAAACAAATTGCTACTCCCAACTAAGCTATATTTAGTCCTGCTGGACCCGGTATTCGTTATACACATTGACTCGGTGGCGTAGTCTTTATCGTAAGGCCAAGTTTAGTGTCGCCCGTGACCACGGGAGCTGCAAAGCTTTAACTATATCTTGGAAAAGTTAAAAATCATTCTTCAAATAGAAAATAATATATTTTCGTCTTTTAAACGTTAAGTGTTTTATTTAAATGTGAACTACTCGCGTTATTATAGACAGTATTATATTACAACGCGCTCGTTGTTCCTCGAAAATTATTCAAAAGCGACCAACAAATTTATTCACTAATAAATCCCGAAGAGATCGCCATATTAACGGTCTTTACTCTTGCGCCATAATTTTAGCCGAAAAAAGGTTGAATTTTTAAGCGTCATTTATTAATTCGACCGATCACGGGCGATTAGTTGTGTAAAATTAAGCTAAACCTCGTAAAGACGCTCTGGAGTGTTAATCTATTGATACACTAGAAAATCAACTTAATTAGCTTACTCGTAAGTTGGTGTTTTAGTAAAACAAATGCTATCCCAACTAGGCTAAACTTAGTTGCTCCCGTTTCGTTATACACATTGACTCGGTGGCGTAGTTATCGTAAGGCCAAGTTGTGTGGTGCACGGGAGAGCTTTAACTTACTTGGAAAAGACAAAAGCGTTATAGAAACTAATATTTTTTCGTCTTTTAACGAACCGTAGAACTTCTGTTTTTAGATTTTTATCACCAAGGTTCTTTCTTTTTTATTATACTTTGCCCAGATCACAGGATCAGCTATTTTCGTTCCTATCTTATTTAAGGGGTTTGTATATTTAAGCAACTGAATTGAGTAGGTTATTTATACTCTTACAATAAATGGAAGAAACAAGAATTCTTTTCTAGAAAAATTTTTTTTTCTTTAAAAACATACTAATGTTTTAAAGCGCTCTTTCATAATTCGTATTTCCCATTCACCTTTGATTAATTGTCAACGCTTTCGGAGTTTCGGGATTAATGTTGCTGTATACTTAATGGAAACTCAATTGATTTGGTTTCAGTTTCAGCAGATAAAAGCTTAGTTGTCTAAACATGGTCACGATGGCCAATTGGGTTAAACATAACACCAGGGTTTGGTTTCGTTTCCACTAAAACGAAGACGCACGATCAAAGTTGGAACTCTAACTTCGTCAATGATGGTGGTATGGAAATTCCGTTTAGGTCATGAAATAACATTCGCAGATCAGAGCCGTGAAGATCAATTACGTTTTGGTTTTATTCTGTGGATTCCCGAATATCTAAGGTCAAAATTAGTCGTGAGCACATCATGATTAGATGTTATATGGTATATTTATTCTACCGTATAGTGACCCGTTTATAATGCCAATATTTTCCAAATGTTTCACATTCCTCACTGTATCCTTCCTTGTAAGTCACAGGCCGATGTTTTAGCCTACAGCTTTCCTCCATAAATGCTCTAAGTAACACAAAAATATTTTTTTCAATTCGAACCGGAAGTTCCAGAGTTCAAATATACAAACAATCAAACTCTTCAGCTTTATATATTAGTATAGATCAATATGAGTAAATATATTAGCTTTGTTGAGAGTAATAAAAGCTCAATTAAGTTTATATAAGGTGGAATAAAGCCTTAATTAATTATGTGGCGTCAGGGTGTCAGCCCGCTTCGATACTACGCCTCATTAGCCAACACAACCAAGCGATCCGGCTAATGGGGGATTTTTAAACACCCTTTTTTATTATCCACCTACGTACTTGGCTTTTCTATTTGCTACTAGTCGCACAACGCGGCTTTCGTATTTTCTCTAGTGTATTAAAATCTTGTTTGGATGTTATATAACTGGGTGTTTCAACTATCATCAAGTGACCTCCTTCCTTGTCTATTTGAAGACGAGAAAAAGTGTAAATCCGCGTTACGATTTTAGTCTATAGACTTCTGAATATCCATATGCAAAATAGGCCAACAGCGCATCTTTCATCTTCTATCAAGCGGATTCATG